GGGAGGCCACGGGAAGCGGCGGCAAAAGCCACGCGAGACTGGCAGGCCACGGGAGGTCACGGGAAGCCACGGGAGGCCACGGGAAGCCTTGGGAGGCCACGGGAACGCCACGCGAGACCGGCAGGCCACGGGAGGCCACGGGAGGCCACGGGAGGCCACGGGAGGCAGCTGCGCCCGCCAGACGCCGGATCCGGCAGCGCACCTGCCAGCTTCCCAGAGCACACAGCTGCATATACAGTCGGACTGGACTGGAAAGGACACGCGAGAGGACACAAGACCCTTCCGAGGGCCATCTCGCCATAGGAGAGTAAGAAGGCACGTGTCGCGAGGCACAGGACACAAGGGTACCCTTGAGCTGGCAGGGTCGACCTACTAATCCGGGCCGCCTGTACAGTAGGAGCTCGACCACAAGAAGACTCCCGAGCCTGAGCCCCCAGGGCGTCCACCGATCGTGGGTGCGGCAGCGCCACGACTCTGCCATCGCAACATCCTCGAAGCCCAGGGCACCCTGGAGGCAAGCAGGGCGCTTCGGGGCACCCACCGATCGTGGGCGTGGGAGCGCCACGACTCTGCCATCGCAGAACCCTCGAAACCTGGGGCACCCTGGAGGAGGAGAAGGGGGTGGAGGAGGAGGAGGAGGAGGAGGGGGTGGAGGAGGAGCGAGGAGGAGGAGGAGGGGGTGGAGGAGGAGGAGGAGGAGGAGGAGGAGGAGGAGGAGGAGGAGGAGGGGGAGGAGGAGCCCCTGCGCACACCGCGGCGCACCAGACCAACAACCTGCACCTCCTCTGCCCCACGGCGCTGCCGCTGCCGCCCGCCGCAGCCCGCCCGCTGCGGCCCGCCGAAGCCCGCACGCCGCGCGCGCACCCCTTGCAGGCCGCGCGCGCCCCGAGGCCGGGCGGAGCCCTGCGGCGAGCCGACGAGGTCGGACCGGCGGAGGCCGGCAGGCCGGGCCGAGAGAGAGAGGGCGAGTCTCGGCGGCCACCGGCAGGCCGGTGGCGCCCTGGCAGGGAGGCAGCGAGATGCAGATCGGAGCGGACCCCCGTTTTTTTTTTTTTTTTTTTTTTTTTTTTTTTGAACAACTTATTATTATTATTATTATTACTATTATTATTACTATTATTAATATTATTAGTATCATTATTATTATTGTTATTATTATTATTATTATTATTTTTATTATTATGATGATTATTATTCTTCTTATTATTCTTATTATGTCCGTGTCAGGGCTCGTTCCCCTGCCAAGAGGAGCAGCGAACGGCGTCGACATCGACTTCTGACGGTCCGCGCGGATCTCCTGGGTCTTGAGCTGGGCCCCCTTCCCTGGCGCGCGGGGCGCGCACGCGTCGCGGCGCCGGAGGCGCCGCCAGGGGGGCTCCGGCGCAGATCCGAGAACTCCGCGTGGAGCTCCTGAAGTTCATGTTTGCAGTGGAGGCCGGTCCACAAGAAGCCTTCCACAAGAAACCCAACCCGGAGACTCCGTGGCGCGCACCGATTTTTGGTGTGGGGACGTCACGCTTTCCATCGCAGAACCCTCGAGTCCCAAGAAACCCAGGGTACCCTGGAGGCAAGCAGGGTGCTTCTTGGCATGGGCCTCCACTGTGTGCCGTTTTTTGTTCTTCGACGACCGCCTCGCTGCGCCCAAATCGGGGATCTTCTGACCCGAGTCTATCCAGACCTGGGTTAGTCAAGCCTTGCATAATCCTGCAAGCTCCTGCAAGATCCTGCGCCCAAGCCAAGGTCAATGCGAATGATCCTGCAAAATCCTGCAGGATCCTGCACCCAAACGTGGGCCAATGCGAATGATCCTGCAGGATCCTGCGCCCAAGCCCGGGTCGTCAGTGCGACCCTGGCCCTCCAGGATCCTGCAAGATCGGGCGCTCTGGCTGATCACCGTTTGCATTGACCTCCTCCTCCTCCTCCTCCTCCTCCTCCTCCTCCCCCTCCTCCTCCCCCTCCTCCCCCTCCTCCTCCCCCTCCTCCTCCTCCTCAACCTCCTCCTCCTCCTCCTCCTCCTCCTCCTCCTCCTCCTCCTCCCGACCAACGGAGGAGCTCGGCCTGCCGGCGGAGGGTGTGCCGAAGGCCTGCCTTGGCATCCTTGGTCTCCTCCGAGCCGCCGTACGGCGGGTGCCGGAGGGCCTCTGCCAGCGCCTGCTCGGCCTGCTGCTGCTTCAGGAGTCCCTCTGGGACTTTTTTCTTATATATCTACATATAAATGATGTATACATGTCGTGCTACCTGTTGTTGTTTTGATGTGTGCTTTGTTTTAGACAGCAGCAATGCTGTGATGGCGCGGCTGCGTTCCGACGAGGCGCGCCTGCTGCGCACCCAGCAAAAACCATCGATTTCAGCAGAAACAGTCGGTCGGTCTGGCCTGGCTTGCCGGATTCATGAGCAACACGACGCCTGACTGGCCAGGTGGTACCCTGCGGCCAGCCAGATCTATTCACTCTGCTGACCCAGCTCCTCTGGCCAGCCGGGAATGGAGGAAGGACGCATCGGAGTGGTGAGGACTTGTAGGGGATGGGGGAGGGATGATGGGAGGATAAGGGAAGATATGGTTTGACGTCGCGAGGCATCTGGATGGGTAAGGGGATGTGCAGGGAGTGGGGAGGGGGTGGAAACAGAAGCCTGGAACAACGGAATGCTATACGTATAGCGCGACGAGCTGGGGGGCAATACCAAGGGGTACCAACAACTGCACGGATACGCAGGCGTATGCAGGTGTTCGCCCTTCCTCGCATCACCAGCGATCTGCACGTGTGCGTATGCAAATTGATGGGGCTGGTGGTTACCATGTGCACGCATGTAGCAAGCAACTGCAATCTGGATTCGGCAGATACGTGCTGAAAACATGCAGCTGTACACTAACATAAACTGGACCGGATGCAACTACGGACTGCGCGCGCCAAACATTCCGTTGCAAGGTGACATGGGCCGCCGAATTCTCCAAGAACTTCCGAGTCCTAGGCTTTTCCCGATCCTCCTGCGGAGTTGTCCATATAGTCTCTCCGCTGCGTCGCGCGCCCTCCTTCCTTCTTCTTCTCCCCCTCCCCCTCCCCCTCCTCCTCCTCCTCCTCCTCCTCCTCCTCCTCATGAGAAGCCGTCATCGCACTTCCATGGCTGTCGGCAGCTCTGGGTGGCTTAGCGGTGCACGCTGGAGTAGCAAGACAACCAAGTGCGCCTGCGCGTGCCCTCGAAACTGGGCAGACGAACGCAAATACAATCTCAAACCACCACGGACTACTCGACTCGCAGACACTCGACAGAATACAGCAGATGGTGGAAGCTATGGGGGTCCCAACTACACTGCTCCAAATTGCTATGCAGCTTCATCGCTTGCGCGCTGATCTGCGGAAACGTCAATCGGAACTCTCTAACGCGAACGATCCAACCCAACACATAGGAGAATGATGCCCAGCGAGAGGTAGCCCATGGGGGAACCGTCCCGTGTCTCAACCGGCTCCGGTGCGCCACCGAGGCTCAAACCGACACCCATGCGGAGCCAGGCAATGGTCGAGGCTGGCGGTGCCGCTTTGTACGCGACGCGCCCGAGCCCTGAGCCCCAGACCCGGCCCCCCTCTTTCCGCCGCTGCTGCTGCGCTGCCTGCTGCCCTCGCCGGCCGTCGGGCCCCGACGGGGCCCCCGAGAGGCCCTCCCCGAGGAGAGCCCCGGAGAAGCCCGAAAGGGATCACCGGTGCAGTCGGGATCGATTGGAGAGGGCACGCGAGAGGGCACGAGACCCTTCCGAGGGCCACACTGCCACGATAATGTGGAGGGCACGTGCCGCGAACACGCAGGACACAAGAGTACCCTTGGTTTGGCAGGGTCGACCTACTAATCTGGGCCGACGGCATCAGTTCGGGAAGGAAGAAGGACGGGGGGCAGGAGAGGGCAAACGTGGGAGAGAAGAGGGGGCATCCGAGACCCGCGCCACGTCGCACAGAGCACGGAGCCGGAGCGGGTCTGGAGCTCGGCCTCCCCCATTCGTGCGCTGCCGCGTTGGCATGGTGGCGGGGCTTGCCGCAGGCAGCTGCTCATGCAGATGCGTATGACTATGTGCACTTTTGCGCGCACATGCATGTAGCTGGCCCTCAGGATGTTCATAGCGAAGGATCGAGAGAGCTACCGAGTGAGGAGGTCAAGGGTCAAGGCAGAGAGCACGCGCACGGCGGGACCCATGGAACGGAGCGGCCTCGACGGTACTGCGGGTCTCCACCAGCCTCTGCCTCAGCCCCTCCTCGTCGGCGCCCTGGCCCCCGGTCATGGGGTCGTCGGCCATCGGGCCCACTCCAGCGCCGTCGCCGCGCTGGGGGCGCTCCGCCCTTCCCCCAAGCCCCGGAGGGGCGACGCCTGAGTCCCGCAAGCCCGCGCGCCCGGGGCAGGCGGCAGAACGCTCGCTGCGCCCTGGGCTCCCGTTCCCGCGGCTCTCTTGCGGGGATCCCTGTGCTGATGGCTTCGGGGCTGCTGCAAATTGTGAAAGGTTGGCGCGCGGCGCCCCCAGGAGGACGGTTGCGGCCACGTGGTGCGAAGCGATGCTTGGCATGAGCATGTGGGCGCAAGGTGTGTGTGTGTGTGTGTGTCTCCCTTCATCCCCCCTTTCCCCTCCTGGCACTCGTCTCCTCCCTGCTTCGCCCCTTCCCCTTCTCCTGTCCGTTCGTGTCCGTTCGCCCCTTCCCCTTCTCCTGTCCGATCGCGTCTCGTGGGCCCGTGCTCTGCGATACAATTCCCCGGAACATGCAACAGCAGAACAATATTTGGATATTCAACCTTCCATTCCGTCGCTCAGCTGCTGTTAACCCCTCGTTCCCTCGCAAGTCCATGCCTGTTTCCAGTTTCTTTCAATAAATACTTCAAGCGGATGAGCAGCGTCACCCGACCCTCGCGAGGAGGAACAATCGGACAAACACTGCGCTTCTCGTATCACGAGGCACACGAGGACAATGACGGGAAGGAGGCAGAGGGGTGGTAGAGGAAGGAGGAGGGAGGGGGAACTGATATAACATCTACACATACTGTTACCAGCGTGGGCCCCGAAAACAAGGTTTCTTGCACTCCTGCAGAGCAACCTTCATGGTGAAATCAATGTACGGTGCAGCGTGTGTTTTGAGACATGCATGATGCAACGCGTGTGATGTAGTAGGAACATGTATATATACACTATGTGTTAGTCCACGTGGAACCGCAACAGTGTATTTCTAGCAATGTATGTTGTGCAATACATGTGGAACAATACAGGTGGTGCAAACTATGTGGTGCAATACGTGCAACCTCTGGGGTGCAACTTTTGTGGTGCAATGTCTATTGTGCAGTCTATGTGGGGGAGTCGATGTGGTACAATCTATGTTGTGCAATTGATTTTTACCCATGATTTGACACACCCCATGCTCTTGCAAACATCCCACCCACCCACCCGCAACTTGTTTTGCAAAACTTCTTAAGACCGATTGCGACTACACCGACGACAATGACTACGTCGACGACGTCGACAGCGACGACAACGGCGACATCGACGACGACGATCACGACGACGACGCCGACGACGACGACAACGATTCCGACGACGACGACGTCGATGACGCAGACGACGACGATGACGACGACGGCGGCGACGACGACGACGACGACGCCGACAACAACGACGCCACCTCCTTGACGACGACGGCGACAACGACGACAGCGACGAGGGGGGAGGGAGGACGGCGACGACGCGAACGACGACGAAGAAGGAGGAAGGACGGCGACGCCGACGACGACAACGACGAGGGAGGAGGGAAGACGACGACGACGACGCAACGGCGACGAAATAGGAGGGACGACGACGAGACGCCGACGACGAGGGAGGAGGAAGGACGACCACGGCGACAACGACGACGGAAACGACCACGATGCCAAAGAGGACGACGACGACGAACACGAGGAAAGACAGAGGACGACGTAGGCGACGGCGACGACGACGACGCGGGAAGAGGGAGGACAGCGACGACGACGACGCAAAAGCGTGCGCGCACGCTTTTGTTGAACATCCGTGTTGCGCAACCTTGTGTTGCAGGTTTTTTGGACACACGATGTTGAAATCCTTCCGAAACCGATTGGTTTTGAAGGATTTCGGCATGCGCGCGACGACGCGCGCGTCTGCACATCGTCCCATTTTCTGCAGAGGATTCTCGCGACGGCACACGCGCAAGGGCGTTCGACAGATTTCGACATGCGCGCGCGCGAAGCCCGTTTGGTAGCATGTTGTGAAACATTTGAAACAACCAATGGTTTTCTTTAGATTTCGCACGAGCTCGCGCGTAAGCTTTTTTTAGCATATCAGTGTTGCGGAACCCTGTGATTTTGTATGTTTTTTTGGAAACTCGATTGCGAATTCCTTCCGACACCGAAGGCTTTTGGAGGATTTCGGCATGCGCGCGCGACGACGTGCGCATGTGCGCTTCGTCCCAATTGTTTCAAAGGATTCCCGAAAACGTCTTATGTTAGAATAAACAATGTCCCCGCGTATTGTTTTTTACAAGGGAATCTCAGGGGGGGGGCGACACTGGTTCCATTTTGACATTGTAATTTCATATTTCGGATGGACATGTGGTCATAATCACAACTATACCCGAAAGGGGAACGGATAACGCCAGGGGGGGGAGAGTCTATTCTGTTTTAGAAAAGAGAATTCACTTTGACTGTTTTGAAGCTGTCTAATCCACTGCTCGCGCAAACATCCCACCCACCCACCCGCAACTTGGTTTGCAAAATCTCTTAAGACCGTGACGGTGGGTACCAAATGGCACTTGGCAACGACAGCGACGCCGACGACGACAGCGACAACGACGACGACGACGCCGCCGACAACGACTACGACGACACCGACGACGTCTCCAACGACTTCGACGACGCCGACAACGACGACGACGCCGACGAAAACGACAGCGCCGACGCCGACGACGACGCCGACGGCGACGACGAGGATGACAACGCCGACGACAACGACGACACCGACGACGACGAAGACGACGACGACGTCAACGACGCCGACGACGACGACGACGGCGGCGACGACGACGACGCCGACGCCGACGCCGACGCCGACGACGACGCCGACGACGACGGAGACGACGACGACGTCGCCAACGAAGACGGCGACGAGGGAGGAGGGAGGACGACGACGGCGACAACGACGACAACGACGACAGCGACGAGGGAGGAGGGAGGACGGCGACGACGCGAACGACGACGAAGGAGGAAGGACGGAGACGCCGACGACGACAACGACGAGGGACGAGGGAAAACGACGAAGACGACAACGACGACGACGGCGACGAAATGGGAGGGACGACGACGAGACGCCGACGACGGACGACGACGACGACGAGGGAGGAGGAGGAAGGACGGCCACGGCGACAACGACGACGGAAACGACCACGACGCCAAAGAGGACGACGACGACGAACACAAGGAAAGACAGAAGACGACATAGGCGATGACGGCACGCGCAAGGGCGTTCGACAGATTTCGACATGCGCGCGCGCGACGCCCGTTTGGTAGCATGTTGTGAAAATCTTGAACAAACCAGTGGTTTTCTTAAGATTTCGCAAGAGCTCGCGCGTAAGCTTTTTTAGCACATCAGTGTTGCGAAACCCTGTGTTTTTGTATGTTTTTTGAACATTCGATTGCGACATCCTTCCGACACCGAAAGTTCTTGAAGGACTTCGGCATGCGCGCGCGATGAAGCGCGCGTGTGCACATCGTCTCACTTTTTGCTAGGGCTTCGCGAAAAAGCCTTATATTAGAGCAAACAATGTTCCCGCGTTTTTTTTTTTTTTTTTTTTTTTTTTTTTTTTTTTTTTTTTTTTTTTTTTTTTTTTTTTTTTTTTTTTTTTTTTTTTTTTTTTTTTTTTTCTTTCTTTCTTATATATATATAAAATAAATAAAAAACACGATATATACGTTATACTCATATACAAATAATTATATGTATATATATAACAAGGGAAACTAAGAGGGAGCGATACTCGCCCCCGGGGATAGTGCACATCCATATTTAGGATGGGCATGTGGTCAGAATCGTATATGGCTTACATACCCAGACGGGGGACCGATAACGCTGGGGGTGGGTAGAGTCTATTGTAGAGTCTATCCTCTTCTTAGAAAGGAGAATCTAGGCGGTACAATCTTCGTGGTGCGATCAGCTGAGCAATCTATCTTTTTTTGGGGGAGGATGAGGAGGAAAACTGATGGGAATAACAGCGCGTCGGCATCGGGCATTGCAGCGACGATGGCAAGATCTGAAATAGCCCTGGACGGCTCGAGCGGAGGGAGAAGAGGAAGAAGAAAACGGGGGGCAAAATTATGCCGTGCAAGGTATGTTGTGCGATTGTGCAATCTACGCGGTGCTTAAGTATACATGTTGTTCAATATAGGCTGTGCGATCTAGGTTGTGCAATCTATGTGGTACTATCTATATGGTACAGTCTACGTGGTGCAAGTAATTTCTGTTCGCAAGAATTGTCCACTCCACTGCTCGCGCAAACATCCTGCCCACCCACCCGCAACTTGGTTTGCAAAATCTCTCAAGACCGTGACGGTGGGTACCGAATTGCACTTGGCAACAGCAGCGACGCCGACGACGACAGCGACAACGACGACGACGACGCCGCCGACAACGACTACGACGACATCGACGACGTCTCCAACGACTTCGACGACGCCGACAACGACGACGACGACGACACCGACGACGACGACGCCGACGATAACGACGACGACGATGACGACACCGACGACGACGACACCGACGACAACGACGACGTCAACGACGCCGACGACGCCGACGACGACGACGACGGCGACGACGCCGACGTCGACGACGACGAAGACGACGTCGCCAACGAAAACGACGAGGGAGGAGGAAGGACGACGACGGCGACAACGACGACAACGACGAGGGAGGAGGGAGGACGGCGACGACGCGAACGACGATGAAGGCGGAAGGACGGCGACGCCGACGACGGCAACGACGAGGGAGGAGGGAGGACGACGACGGCGACAACGACGAGGGAGGGAGGACGGCGACGACGCGAACAACGAAGAAGGATGAAGGACGGCGACGCCGACGACGACAACGACGAGGGAGGAGGGAAGACGACGACGACGACGACGACGACGACGGCGACGAAATAGGAGGGACGACGACGAGACGCCGACGACGGACAACGACGACGACGAGGGAGGAGGAGGAAGGACGACCACGGCGACAACGACGACGGAAACGACCACGACGCCAACGAGGACGACGACGACGAACACGAGGAAAGACAGAGGACGACGTAGGCGACGACGACGACGACGACGCGGGAAGAGGGAGGACGGCAACGACGACGACGACGCAAGAGCGCGCGCGCACGCTTTTGTTGAACATCCGTGTTGCGAAACCTTGTGTTTTTTTTGGTAGGTTTTTTTTTTGACAAACGATTTTGAAATCCTACCGAAACCAATGGGTTTTGAAAGTTTCCGGCGTACGCGCGCGACGACGCGCGCATCTGCACTTCGTCCCGTTTTTTG